TCAGCTCCCCTCGAGCTGATCAGCAACCATGGATCAGCTGGTCAGCTGGCACAGCCACCCATACATCAGCTCTAATCAGCTCCTCTCCAGCTGATCAGCAACCATGGATCAGCTGGTCAGCTGGCACAGCCACCCATACATCAGCTCCAATCAGCTCCTCTCCAGCTGATAGGCGACCAAGGGATCAGCTGGTCAGCCAGCACAGCCACCCATATAAAAGAAATTCCCACGACCCATAAAAGGAAAAAAATCAGCTGTCCCATACATCAGCGGTAGTACGGTACTACCGGGCTGTCAAATACACAGGAAAGGTGTGATTTTTCTCTTTTATGATACCAAAAAATCGCCATGGCACAAGTATTATGATTCATAATACCCACTGTGATTAGATAGGAGACATTGGAAAGTGACCTTGCAAGCAAAGTAACATCACATGGCCACACGAGTTCCCATCAAATGGGACAATCCCGGCAACAATGGGCATTGAATATTATTACATATAAATAGAGCTAGTTCAGGTACCGATTAGCCACGAGTCCCATTATTCCAGCAAATATCTTTCCCTTGGACTTCGGAATGACATGGCGGTGTGGAGGGATTAGCAGACAGACTTCCCTGAATGACTTCAAATCCGAGGGTTCTTTGTACTCTTCCGGAGTGGCTTTGCTATCCTTGGCCAACAAAACTTCCGGGACGTCTTCAGATAAATCCTCCTTGAATGGATCATGATCAAACAGGACTGATTTCTTAGCCATTTGGCGATTGAACCGTGTTTGGCGATTGAACCGCTGAACCCAGTAATCGTGTAACTCTGCAGCAAAATCTGTGTACCGTTGGTGAAGGGGAGCCCTTGCAAGAAGGGTTGCCGTTTCTGTTGCAGTCTTAGAATGACAGCAGTTACCTGGGTCCTTGAACCATGATGACAAAGGATGAGGACTGATGGTGAGAATTTTACCATCATCTCCTTTATCCATGCAGATGCAGATGTAAATGAGACACCATGCAAAAGACTCCGAATCGTGTCGGTACAGACGTGGAACCGAGCCCTTGAGTGCTTCTACACTGAGGAGGTCCAGGGCCATGAACGGCATAGTTCCAGTGTTGTCCTTCCCACTCGGTCCCTTCTGTTTGTCCAATCGTGCAAGGTCGAAGTCGATAAGAACTCCACGGTTCGTACCTGGCTTATACATCAGGTTCCCTGTGCTGATATCTCCATGGCAAACATCCCCTTCCCACAATCCCCAATGACCTGCCGCGATTGAATGCTGAGGGACAGCACAAAAAAATGGAAACACAACATACAGAAGAAACAGTCCAAATATGCGATTAGCACGTCTTCCTCATCTAGATGCTTGAGCTCCCCCAAACGGTCGAGAATGATGAGGCGAAGCAGTCGCTCCCCAGTCGTGTCTAGCTTCAGAAACTCCCGGATGAACCTTGTCGAACATGTTACATACGGAGGGTCTATGTTGCCATGCATCGTGGGGATGTGATCCTCCACTAGGCTGTTGGTTTTACCGATTTGCATCGCCCGCTCGATGATCTTCACCTCACTAGCCCGCGATTCCTCTGGCCAGGAAGCCTTGGTGACCAGGTTGTTGGCTTCTCGAATATCCACAGAAGTATTCGGATTCGAACCGTCAGCCTTCCTGGCCCCAGCTACAACGGTCGAACGGCCCGTCAGATTGACCCCACCATAGATAAGATCATCATCAGGAAAGATATGAATCGTAGCATCCCGGATGAAGGTGGCTTTGAAGAAGACTGAATCCTTGGGCCCTCGTTCGGGGTAGATACTCGACCCCTCGAACGCAGTGAAAAAACCCCAGCGGGCCAGATCGAACCTTTGCATAATGAGTAGGACCAGAAGGAAGTGAGGCAGGTCATTGGTGATGTCGAAGCCCCCCGTTCGAATAACACTCTGCCTGTCCGACCATGTAATGTATATTTTGCTCCCTAAAACATTACAGCCTGAGTTATACTTGACGGGATTTACGGGGCTGAATCTCGCCTTGTAAAATGAAGTTGATAGCGTGAGTGATGTCAAAGGAGCAGGAGAGCCTCTCTGCAGCGTAGATCCCATTCTGAATGTGGACTGGATGCTTCTGCGGAACCGCCGGACGTTCGGAACTCCCTGCAGCAGCACCCCCAGTCTTGGATCGTTTGGTCGTATTGTGGTCATTGAGCGCTTCTGTCTTGCGCTTCATGCGAGAGTACGCCCATTCTGAGATATGTTCCGACGTGACTGGGCCCTTCCTCGCGGCCACCCTATCCGATCCCCTGGAGCCATCTGCCCAGGAAAATAAGTAACAGATCGCTTCTGAGAGGTGCGCACTCGCATTTGAGCTCAGGTTGCACCTGTCGGATAAACCCAGTAGATGAGACGTCATTATCGAACGAGGAACACAACTCTGATTCTTTGAGGTCTTTAAAGTTGTTGTTGTATGGCCTCATCGGGCTAACTTGCTTCGGTAATCTGTCAAATTTCACTTCTACCGTTGATCGGACCTTTTTCCATGCCAGCTCCAGGTTTTTGGAGCCCGCGGTACACATCTGCGTCCCGTAAGTGCAGGAGTATGTATCGGAAGCATTGCAGGCTAGGTTTCTAAAGGATTCCCATTGAAGTAGGACGATATCTGGTCTAGTCCGGCAATCCCGGTTAAGATCGAGGGACTTCACCATGTGGTTGTGGTTACAAACGAAGACGATCTGTTTGTCGGCAGAGTACTGAGGCAACCCTTGGATATCGACTTTCGAAAGTTGATCTAGGGCATAGTTAGAGGCGATTACGAATGGATCGTACATTTCTGCCTCTGTCCCAGCTTTGAGGCTTACAGTGAGTTAGTCCCGCGCCTAGGGAGTCATGGCCGCACTTACAACTTAGAGAGCTCAGTCCTTAGGGTGGTCCCTTCCTGATTTGCTAGTTCCTTCACCTTCTCAAAGGCAGATAACAGCACCCGCTCATCACGAGCGGGGACAGCTTTGCCCTTTCCCGACAGGCAGAACGCGAGCAAAAAGTCGATCATGTCAACCGCCTTGCATTTCTGGGCACTCTCCAAGTCGACACGGATGGGCTCTTCCATTTCTTCCGCCCTGACGTCGTGTTATCACCAGAGAGGCAAAACGAAAGAGGGATGTCACACCGATAGGATTTCAAAGTTCCAGTCAGCAAACGAGATTGACTGGCCGAACTCGAGCTGGGTCTTGATCCACCACGAATGGGAGTTTTCTGAATCCCTTTGGCGGTATTGGTGGTGCTCCCCTCATTCTCTTCTTGAGGTACACTCATTGAGTGGAGGTATGTTGTCGGAAACAACAAAAACCAACAAATCCGGCCAACTCCGTACATACAGCGGTTTGAATTTTGATTGTCGCGTGATGCAAAATTGTTTCCGCTGAACTTCAGCGGCTGCAAGGGTACGCCAAACTTCCTGACCGAATATCTCTTCAACCACATCAGTTATTGACAAACGGATTGTTGCGCTGTAACATACACGTCTGTATCTATCTTCTATCTGAAGCGATTGTTAATACCTTTTAAAATGGATTATCCAATTATCCCCACCTTCCTGACCGATTTTCTCAACAACGGCTAGGAGAAATCGTCCCAAATTTGGTCCCCAAAGAGGTTGGGTGAATATCTAAGTGCTATTTTTTTTTTCGAAGTGCTGTGCTTAAATTTGAAAAATTCGCTATTGAGAGTGCGCGCGGAAGTTTGGACAGCTCACTCGGCTTGTTCCGAACTCATCCGTTGTACTTGTGTCATGGCGCCTACTTTCCCTACCCCGTCGTCAACTTCATCTCTGGTGCTAGCCTGAGGTCTGTTCAGCGTTGGAGCAGGGCATATGCTCGGCAAGGAAACTTCTGCACTGCACCCAAGCGCTCTCAATCACGGACACTAGAGTCTCAGGATATGCAGGTGCGATCATCCTTGGTATCGTAATATCGTCTTTATTGACTATTCTGTACAGTATCTTCATGGTTTGCTCACTGGGCGCCCGGACCTCTATCTGACAGAAATTCAACAAAAACTAATCGACAATTGTTGTAAGTATATATCTATATCCGGCCTATGGAGGTCACTCAAACGCGAGGGATATACTCTGAAAAAGGTGTGGAAATAATTGACCTTACTATCTGAAGCTTGTGTTATACATATTTATCCAGTGCCACCGTGTTGCTGCGGAGCGTGACGCCAAAAAGCGGGAGACATATCGCCGACTAATTGCTCGCAGGTATTGTCCTGAGCAATTAGTCTTTGTTGATGAGACTTCGGTGGACAAACGCACCACACATCGACTCCGTGGATGGGCAAGGAAGGGACAACGGGCTGACATCCGGGCTAGTCGTGTGCGAGGGAAAAGGTATTTATGCCCATGCAGAATCAAATTATCTAGGCTCTTACTTTAAATTTCCAGGTTTTCAGTCCTTCCGGCACTTTCTCTTGATGGACCACTCTGGGTCGAGGCACGACTTGGATCATACAACACCTGCCATTTTCGCCGATTCATCCGTCGTCTGTTGGATGAAATGCAACCATTCCCAGGCCCAAACTCTGTCATTGTTCTTGATAATTGCTCAATCCACAAGCATGACTCTATCAGACAATTGGTTGAAGATCGGTATGTCCCTCGTCATGATAATTATGACCATATCATCTTATTGCTACCTCAGGGGATGCCGCATGGTATTCCTTCCACCTTACTCGCCGGATTTCAATCCAATTGAAGAATCCTTCTCAGATTTCAAATCAAAAATTCGCCACAATGGTGAGTTGGTGCGGGAAATGATGAGTAGGAGTGATGAGGAGACCATACGACTCCTATGTCACTTATATTTCCAAGTAACCTCAGTTGATGCTGCCGGATGGTTCGAAAATGCCGGGTACTGGTTGCCACCATAATATCCCCTCTATATGCATTTAGAAATCACTGACGTGTCACTAAAAACTAACAAATATGTATCGTATATAGTGATGTCTACTGGATATGAAGGATAATTCACATATAAGATCTCTTCCGAATGTGTTTTATCTCCTTCTCCATTGCATTGTAGAGTTCTACGGCATGCCCAAATGGGATGCCAAGACCTAGCTTCACCAGGCCCTCTGCCCGGTTTTCTTTGCATGACTCGAATAGCACATCAAGTCGGTCAATTCCGATGTCATCAAGGGGAAGAATATACCGTTGAAAGTTGCGTGTTTGAGGGAACTTATGCCTATCTGAATCAAGCTGAGTCAGCCATTCCTCGAGAGCAGGGAATTGGGATGCAGGGATATCCGGTCCATCACTACTTGGGTTGGTAGTGGTTGCATGGTGATCTTGGTGCTGGGGTGCTGGGTAGTCATGTTCGGGGTTGCGGCGACGATAGCTGTTGTCGTGCTCAATAAATCTAGGGTGATTAGGTGGGCGGGTGCTATATTGGTCATTGTAGGAGTGGGGATATGACGGTACTGTGCCATATTGGAATGGTGGAGGTCCCATAAATGGTGGAACCGGCATGTGAGATGAATAATAGAAACCAGGGTGCATTCCCATAGCCATAGGATTTGGCATCGGCATCACATTGCCTCCGAATGAGGCCCCTGTAAGTTGTGTGGCGGTATTCCGCTGGCGCTTCCCAGCAGTAGGTGGGATGCTGATCCCATACTGAATACTGAGAGATTGGGGAGGGTTATTTAGGTCAACACCCTGTTCACCCTTAGCCTTGTCACATGGTCATTCAGTGGCAGTATAGTTGCGGGAATCTTGAGCTCTTACTATTGCTAGCGCCCACCCCTTTAGCGTAACCTCCTCAAGAGGGACATGTACCCCAGATGGTAGGATTGAACAAGGTTTCTGATGGACAGAGCACATTACCGCGTTGCTGAGCAACGCTTGGGTATAGTGCTTGATTGTGTTGCTTGAGACTGAGAGACGCGGCTTTTTGCGGCATTGCCTTTCAGAATCTCCCTCAATTTCACCCTCATTGGAGCCCTTATCATCTCCATCCTCCGAATCAGAAGATGAGCTCCCACTGGACTCCTTTGCTTGCCGCTTTTTACTCTGCGTTTTGCTTGGAACCCGTGATGCCTTTGTGCCAGTGGCTTTGGATTTTTTTGGCTTTTCATTATCGGATCTAGGCTAATTGTCGTGGCAGAATTAGCTAGAGGTGCATTGAACATTGAGCATACACTCACTAGATTCCGAATTTCGATAAATACTATGATGTTGGCTTTCTTTGTGCCCTCGGCTTGCACACTTTCAATCATGAGTAGGTAATCATCTTTATTGCATAGTAGCGTGCCCTTTCCCGTGGCGCTAGTTTTCCATTTGAATTCTGGGATGAAGGTGGCTACCCGTGAAGCCATTGTGACCTCCTGTTGCCACTGTGGAAAAGGCAGTGACAAAGGAAGTCGGACGCCTCGCCAGTCACCACCTTCTGTTTCAACTTTGTACAGTACTTTTGGCACATTGATAGCATTCTGGTGCCTTCCTCCTGCTATTTCGGCCTGTCCCTGGTTCACTGGACACTGATAATCACCTCCGGATGTTGCTTCGTTTGCGTGCACCACGGAGTTCTCTAAAATAGCGCAAAATGAGGTTATCCAGTCTAATGCCTACAAAGAGTGCCTACCACTCTGACCATTAACAATCTCCTGACTATGTATTCCAATGTCGGCATCTTTGTGGCTGCGGTTCCTTCTGGGATAGGAAGGCAACATGTTGGCTAGTTGGTGACTGGCTTCCGCATTATCGATTCCCGCTGCCGACTGTTGTGCTGCAAGGACAAGGAGACCAAGTGCTCCCTGGTGCTCTGTCTCAGCTAGGTGGCTGGTGACCTGTTGTGGCTGTTTTTGAGCGCGAGGGCGAGGGCAAGGGCGAGGGCGAGTGTGTGGTGGTTGAGATGAAATGCTGCCGAGTGTCACATCCAAATCATATGCGGGCTGCTTTGGATCTTGCATGGATGTATTTTTAGAGTTCAAAGTGGCTAAGCGAGAAAGTTTCTGTTGTTGAGGCTTGGTTTTTCCTGGCATATACAGCCTAGAAAGTGAAGCGCAAAAAAAGGATGACGAGTTCGGGGCTGCCCGGACTTGTCCTGTCGGCGACTTGCCAAGCTCAGACTTCCACGCATTTCTTTGCAGGGGTGGCAGCTACGAGTCCGTATGTGTCCTCTGAGGTCTATCAAGGGACCTTGTGGGCATGCAATTGGGTTTATGTATGTGATTTCCGTTGCTGTTGCACACTCTCAATAGCGAATTTTTCAAATTTAAGCACAGCACTTCGAAAAAAAAATAGCACTTAGATATTCACCCAACCTCCTTGGGGACCAAATTTGGGACAATTTCTCCCAGCCGTTGTTGAGAAAATCGGTCAGGAAGGTGGGGATAATTGGACAATCCATTTTAAAAGGTATTAACAATCGCTTCAGATAGAAGATAGATACAGACGTGTATGTTACAGCGCAACAATCCGTTTGTCAATAACTGATGTGGTTGAAGAGATATTCGGTCAGGAAGTTTGGCGTACCCTTGCAGCCGCTGAAGTTCAGCGGAAACAATTTTGCATCACGCGACAATCAAAATTCAAACCGCTGTACACCTATTCCGTACAACCACATAACGGCCAAGAGACGTCCAAGAGATGTTCTGAACACCGCCGGAGTCAGGATCGATGGAGCCTTTGTTCGCTCATTAAGCTAAGGGGAAAATACCCTGAATATCGCTTCGAATGGGACATGTCAGCGAACGATCGTCGCGACGTTGCGTTAATTGTTGCGATGCCTCGGTCCAAATACATCATTCCCGGGTTGAATAGTCAGGTCGAAACTTATCTACATGTAAGGGTGCGTTATTAATAGGACACGAAAAGAGCGGGTCCATTGAACAAGAGAAGGGTGGGCCCTCATAACTACAAAGGAGGGCCTGGATGTAAATTGCATGCATCGTTTTTCAACCAACGCGGACCTGGATGATCTTTAAAGGAGCACTGGAGGATAAGTCTCCTAGTGCCCAGGTAAGGCGGAATCTTCATCTATACGGCTCCCGCAAAGCCAATATGGAGACCTGCAACATGAACTAGGGCCCACATCTCGGGAACAAACCTAGAAGCTCACCGGCATGGTAGAGAAGAAAACGAAGTTGTTGTTTGCAATATAGTGTGATGGGTATTGTCGAGGTGACTGATGGCAGGCGATCAAAAGAGAATACAGGTGGTTGCTTTTTCTGGTCAGCAGCGAATTTTGTTGGTTCCCCTCTTTCCGAAGGTGCACTTCTCTCAAATGCTATGCCGGCGTGGCAATACTGCTGGGCAGAACCTTGCCTTCTGGAGAAGAAAAGGGTCATTGCCGGGCAAGTGGATCATTGCACTCACGGACACGCGGAAACCTGCTCGATATTACACTAGAGGGTGTAAAATACAAGATCTCTGTCTTTTCTATCTACAAAGGTTCTAGCTTATATACGGTTCTGTACGCTTATCGCTTACAGTTGCTCAGCTAAGATATCAGCTGTGAGGTGATAGTCACGGATCATGCAAAGTATCGCTTCATGTGAATCTAGTTGCTGTTGTGAGGATGCGAATGTGAGGTGGAACAGGAGGGGGTGTCATCGGTGTAATGAGTGTCAAGTTGAAATGCACATATGTGAATTGGACTATCTTACCGTGTCAGAATCTGACCCATATCCGATATCGTCATCCATACACTGTGCCCTGTTCTCGTTGGTTTTCTCCTTCAGAGCATAGGGATTAAGAAAAGAGAAACAATGAAAATCAGACTCAGGGACATACCAGTTTCACAGCGCGAATCTACATCACCCGATGGTGAGCGAGGTCATTTAATTGCAACGGCTGTGATCGATCCCATGGTCCAATTCATATAGAGGGGTATGGTACGGTGACGAGTCGCTATGTCTCGGAAACTCCAGGTCGGAGCCAGATGTGACTCATCACTGCCTTTAGCGCTGCATCCCACTGGTTTTGGAGAGTTTGCCCACGTATATCCTTCCATCGTTGGGGGAACACACTTATGAACCTATTCTGGTTTCCGCCGATCCCTGGGTTGACCCCACCTGGGGATCGGAGGTGTCACAGACAATGGGACTCGGGATCCGAACGGACCAAGGGGGAAGGTGCTGGGACACGACAAGGACAGCTGGGCGGCAATATCCCGCCCAAAATGCAAGAGGTCTCGCAGTACTGGTCAGCATTTTCATGCATCTCGCAACCAATTCTTGTGGGACCTGTACTTGAGCCTGCAATTGAGAAAACAAACAACTAGATTCTCTTTCGAGATTCCAGCTTCTCCTGCATCCCTCACAGCATCCAATACTGATGGAGCTCCTCAGATAATTCCGAGTTGGCAAACAACGTTTCCGAAGAGCGTAATATGCAGGCTTTCACAGTCCACAGCAGCCTCGTCAACGCATGGATGAGGCCCACATGCAGCTTGACGTCCATCAAATGTTATGCTATGCCCTAAGGCACCAGTCGGGTTCCCTATAGATGGCAACTCCGAGGTCTTGTAAGCTGGTGACATGCTGGGCGATACAGAGAAGGACGGATCGTGAGTGTCCTCACTGACCCAATAGGTAAGCATCAGTTCAATTCCAACACGATGGTGTCCTGATACACCAAAAATTGCCGAACTCATTCTATACTAACATAAAAATTTGTCCACACAAATGGAAAAGTATTGCGTACGCGTTGTGATAACGGTATCCGCGCCCCAGCTTAGGGTGTGATGGGTCATGATTGGAGAGTGCAAAAATCTTCCGTACGAAGAACTTCGTTAGCTTCGGCAACTTCTGTATCCCCAAGCTGTTGTAGGAGTGCCACTGCAAGTTTATTGTCGTAAATGTTCTTGGGTGTGGATACAGTCATCTAAGATTGTGGATCAGATCTATCGGTTTCGGCCCCATTTCACAGAGTCTCGCCTTGATTGCTGCCTGAGTAAGCCCCCTGATTCTCGGACCCCCTGTAGAAGGGGCATCGCTGGCAGACCTCATGACGAATGGGTCGGAACAAAGAGCGTTTTCATCTCCAACGGTGGTGAGGAAGTAATCGAACTTTGGATCATAAGATTGGGAATCGTCCGTGTATCCGAACCGCTGGGCAATCGGGCAAATGCTTTTCGGAAGTGTTGCACCGAACAGCTTGGTCGCTTGGTCAATAACTCCGGCCCGACTACGTCCCAGAACTGGGTTAACAATGGGTTCAAACTGAGCAGCAGCGAAACCTACAGTTTACCCTTGTCTATGTAACTTCTTAAGAAGTCGACATGCGTTAGCGAGTCAAAATTTACGGGGTCATCGGGATGGTCATCAGGAAGGTTTGTCGATCCACGAAACTTCAACTACAGGTCCATCCATTGAGCTTCCAGCCTCTTGGCGTATGCAGCATGTCCTCCCACAAGGACTTTGGAAACGCGCATACGTGCACTGTGACAAGAGATAGTAGGAAATACCTCTGAGAGTGCTCCCCAAACTGGTTTCGAGAGGTGGCGCCAGCGAGCTCTGATGATGGTGCCGGCGTCTCGAGCAAGCTCGTCGAAGTCATTGTTCCAACTGAAACGTCATCGAGCCTTAGGAACTGCACTAGTGTTCGCTTCTGTGAGTGAGACTGAGGCCACTGTAAGACATGCTGGATTAATCTGATCTTGCACCTCTTCTTTCTTCCTTTTTCTGAGTCAGACCTTTTCGAAGTAGGGGCCGGATGGTTTGGCGAGACTTGAATTTAGTTATCAGCTCCTTCACTGTTTCGCCTCAGCAATCTTCAGGGACAAGACCTTATCCAGCTCACAATGAGGTTTAGTCTGACCGAGTAATCGCTGTTTTTCGTTCCATAACCTCCTCTGCTCCTCCCTCCTCCATGAAAGAGTTGATGGCATCCAGCAGTGCCCCAGTGATCTCTTTCCAGAAGGTAAGATCAGGCTCATCATACGCACGAGTATTGATATCCAAGCACGATGAAAGGAAATCGCGCTGCAATTTTGCCAGCACATAGGAAGCGCTCCACGAGATTGGCCGTCAAATATGGAACGCAATAGAAGGATGACCTTGGAAGAGGGCACGAGGCAAGGAGATGGCCCTCGGTCGCTGAGACTGTTCATTGTCTTACTCAGGGTCTGCGGATCTAAAGACATCCCTTCCGGAGTACTCATGACTACACCATCCGCGATCCTCCTTTTGATGACCTTTTGGAACTGTTCATATATTCGATCCTCCGACAAATGTGCGATCCCTCCAAGATCCTGAAGAACTGTCAGGAGTTCTTCCTGTCGACGCAAAGCCGTAAGATTGGCATTCCTGGGTGCTGGGTGTTGAAACCATGTCAGGAAGGCGCCACAGCTGACTGCTGGGGAGACTCACCTCTGATCCCTTTCCGAGAATGCGCTTTGGTTGCTCCCGGGTTGTGCTGATCTGCGGATGGGGACGCACCGTTTGAGGGGGGGCCGAGAAACCCCAGATTCAACATTTGTCATCTTACGACATTTAGTTGGATTTTTTCAGATAAACCTGCTATCGCAGGACGCTTTGTGGCTTTCCTCGTCTGTGAATGACTGTTGAACACTTCACCTGTCGAGAACTAAATGAGATACACACTGATTTCAACATAGGATCCTCGATTATCCCAGGACGTTGGTCATTGATTAGAATCGATTGTTCGGGTAAGCCACCACCAATTAACCTCGAATTGACAGAATTTCCATTATTGGAAGTACCCTCTCTGGATCGACCTAAGGTTAGATCTCCGCCTTGTGTTGTTTCATGCGTAGCGGCAGGTGGGCTCTGAGGATCCTGCGCCAAATTCCTGTCCTTTGGTGGCCTGCCATGTTTCTTTGTGCCACTGATGGAATATTTCGAATAGCGTTAGTCTTCTTCTCTGGCACACTCCACTCCTTTCGTGGGCAGCCTTTCTTGACAGTCCCATCAGGTAGTATTGGATTCCGATTACGAGGAATCCCATCTGCTTTAAGACTGGTCCTACGATCTCGCTTCATTGTGGGGCGACAGAAATTGTCGACATATTTTGCCAGGGTGTCAACATCCCCATCGTAAAATTCTTCTTCGAGGAATTCTCCAAAACTTGCCACGTCAGACAAGTCCTCAGCCAAAATATTTCCGAGTTTCTCAGTGACAGCATTTGGATCAAGTTGTGAGCGCTGAAGAACCGATTTTGTCCAGTATTCCATGTGGCATTCGCGCCCATAATGCATAGCTTCGGAGACGATAGCGAAATGGCGGAGATGATGGGGCACTGGATGTTCCTCATTCTTCTTCATGAGATGTTCGATTGTCCACACATTGAACTGACTGAGGAGCGCTGTCATTTCCTAGTAGGTTGTTAGCCTGCGAGAGAGAGCAAAGGGTGAGACAGGTCATACATTGTGTGTCTTACCACGTTGGGATAAAATATCTGCAATTTCAGTTAGCTGGCGATGAATAGTGACATTCCACTTCGCCAACGTCTCCTCACTAGAATTATGTGATATGTCAGGGTCCCCTGTGACACCGCATTTCTCACCTTTATGGGATATTCCCTGGACACGTTGCCCACCTACGGTGGGGCGAATGCAAATGATCATCTTATTTCGAGCCATTTTTGATGGCACAAACACTCGTTCAATAAGCCCGTGGCGTTCCATGTTAATGATTTGGCGCCGGAAAAGTCGTCGATCCGCACGAGTAGGGTTCTGACATCCCTGAAGTGGTGCAATACGCTATTAGCTGCTCCACCTGAAGGGGAGTGTACCTACAATGGCGGGCAATGCATTTGTGTAAGCATGAGTGTTGTTGGCACGGTTTCCCAACAACTTTTTGACACGCACAGCAACTAATGGGAAACTTCCGAGTGTCAGAGGATCCAAAGGCTCAAATTCCAAGGATTTGACAGCTTCATCGATATCATGTTGGGATTTTTCCTCCTCATCGACCAGCTCTTCTTCGTGGGTCCCATAAACGGTGGAGGCAATGGCAAGTCCATTCTGAGAAAGCCGCTCTGAACTTCTATCGCAATAGACTGCAGTTGTCTCTCCTCAGCAACCAATTTTTGCCACACTTCGCTATGTTCCCAAAAGGAGCGATGAACAACACAATTCTTGGAAATCCCAGAACTGTGGATCTTGTGCCTGATGGGACGAGGGAAGTGGCATCAATTGAAGTAAGCGATTTAACACAAATGATGACTGACACTAATTCGAGTTCCTCCAGGGATTTGACAAGGTGGAACATCGATCCGAATGAGTATTTGGCGGTCTTGGCACAAGCAACCAGCTTGAGCACCATGTATGCCATGTCTGTCATCTTCGAGGGCTACTCCGCGATTAAATTAGTTGTCAACATCCAAACACATTCCACAAGCACCCACTGACTCTTGCATGAGATCCTGTCAAAGTCCGGAAAATTGTTGAAGGGCGGAGGTCATCGGATTGGGAGCAACGGAGACTTGCGGAATTTGAGGACAGAGGCCTATGGAGACCTGTCCAGTACATATTACAAGGGAGGATATATACTGAATAAAATTATCTGGTTGGAGGTGCTAATATTTTGTGCGTCGTGGTGCCCTTGGAACAACCTAAGCACGAATCAAACATGGGAGGATGATTCATTGAGTATCTCCCAGAAAAAAACCAGCCAGCCACGAGTGTGCTCATACCGTAGTCGCCCTCAAAACAAAGTTCTCGCACGCAGTATTGCACAAGAGTGTCCATGTGTCTGTCGTAAGAGTCAGACTTGGTGTCGGGTTCAAATGAGTTTCACAGTATGCATTCCTTGAAAGGCTTCTTTGCGCTTTTGGTACAGTCGTGGGTCGTTGCCTAGTGTTGGTAGAGGCGTCAGCAGCGCTCACTGATGTCTATCGCTGTTTGTGTCGCTGGGAAACGTGACTCGTTGAATCAACGTTGAATAGGAGATCTTGGGCCATCAATGGTGCATGGCATCAGATTCAAGTCGCTCCTTGCAATGACAACCTCATGTTATGGAATGCGGTGATATTCGGACCAAGTAGCCGATGGAACATTCAATTCGACGAGTCCTATCCCAACAAACCCGCCACCGTTGTCAAAATCATCCGAACATCCATGCAAACGGAGAGCTTTGCTTCAGAATCGCTGGTCACCTACCCACGATGTCGCTGCGATACTAACGAGCATCCAAATGTTAGTTTCACGGTCCCATCCCTATGGGTTTCATTAGTTTTGACCCAAACCCTCGTCCAGGTCATCTTATCCTGGCACAACACCATTTGAGAGCGATTGATTACATATTTTCACAGTCAGCCCTCCTTCTGCTTCCTCTTAGGGCTCATGTAAATATATGTGACAAGTTTGGTAGCAATGCGATATGCTCAGAGTCGACATCGGGCAAGTCAAGAAAGTGCAGATTTGCACATTGAGCACCTCGTAGAGGCTGCTATTCTACCTTGGGGAGGACCCCCCAAGCCCGCGTCAAGCCAAGTCAGACACATGCGAAGTTTAAGAGTTGATAATGGTGTCAAGGCTAGGACGTTGGATTACCAGAACCCCACAGATGCCCCGAAGCAACGCCCCGAAACGACAGCGGAGGAAGCGGACGGAGGGGACGATGCATTTCCTGCTTCGACTTTCGTGTGCAGGATCGAAATTTCGAGCAAAGTCAACTGAGCGTGACGATCCAAGCAAGTAAGCAACGTTAGTCGCGAGCCATTGAAACAAGAGGTCAGAAGTGGGAATGGGCATACTTACTGATCAGTCCAAATCCTTCTAATTGACCAGTGGTTCTCCCGAAGGCGATATCAGCACCAATTGCATAGTAGCCTAAATCCGCAGGTCAACAACTAGTAGTGCTGGAGAAGAATCACATACCAAGCACGTACTGAGCAGGGCCATAGGCCCACGAGTCTTGTCAGCAAGCTCCTCACGAGGATGTCTTCCGAAAACAACATCCTGTACATTCTCACGACCTGTCTTGGAAATCCCCAGTGGATACGCCACAGCAACCGTGGCACGAATACTGGGTCTTTCCGACCTGATCTTGGCCTCCTCTTGCAGTTGGCCTGCTTATTCCGGGGGGAGGAGAAATGTCCATTGTTGTCCCAGGATGCATGGAAGGGATTTTCAGTACCAGATGAGTTCGGTGGAGTCCAGAGAATTGCACCCTGTACTACGGGCCAGATGAAGCTAGCCATCTCGTGCCTTCTCTGGCTAACCACCTCCAAATTTTGCCTCGTTTGAATCTGAAGGTGTCAAGGGTGTAAATGTCATTCCACCTATCTCCGCGATTTTACCGGATGTGCCATCTTTCCCGTCCATTTCTTCTCCGCCGATTTTGGTTTCGCCTCCTGCCCCAAGTTTCCCCCCATTGCTGCCCCATCCATCGCCCCCACTCCTGCTCTACCTCCCGTGTCATCTCATTACCCACCAATGCCGTACCTGCGTCACTCTGCTCCCCCTCTTCCTGATGCCATCTCCCCTGAGGATACGGCGAAAGCTAAGAAGGCTGCGAAGTACGCTATTAATGCGCTTGATTATGATGATCTTGATACAGCCAGGAAAGAACTCGTAAAGGCATTGGCTATTTTGGGCGTTTCTGTCGAACTTTTAGAATCTCGCAATTTATTTCTTATACATACCCCTCCCTTAATTTGAGTTCCTCATTGGTGTTCTCCGGTTTGAGACTATGCGCTCTGTACGCCTTTCGCTCCGCCTAGTTTGTTTTGGGTTTCATGCGTTCATCTTTCTCTCGACCCTCGTCCCATACATTATTGTAGCACATTCACACTCTTCCCCGTCCCATTATTGTCTCTGTTCTTCTCAATCTACCCCCACCTTGGGGCTTCGCTGTCAGCTACAAGTTTTGTCTGTTTCCCTTTTCCTTAAATCCGTCTAGCGCCAAAAGTGGACTGATATTCTGACCGGTATATCGTAACTAGCTTGCTTTTCTTTTCTTTTCCCTTTAACCAGATATCCACCCATTCTAGTAGTACTAGTACGGTTGATCGACTCCGATCAATTCCTTATTCTATTCTGTTTCCCATGATTCCCCTGCTTCCTAATGATGGTCTTTTTTCTGCATTTGCGCCATTGCCTGTCCCCGGATTCGGGTCTGAGCTGTATGTGGTTTTTGCCGATTTGATTCCATAGACGATTTGCTGTTACCATACGCGAGTTGTCGGGGCCCAGATCGGACCATGTGTAGCACCATGCATAAGAGCGCACGGAGAAGGTTGTTGCGTTGATATGTGGCAGTGCGGCAGTCCCACGACACCACAACCTGAGGGGATCGGCAATACATGGTAAGGGTGCCTGGTTGGTGTGGCAGGGTGACGGAGTCCGCTGGCTTGTGGTGTCAGGATTATCGGCTGTACTGGATGGCTATGTACCTACAGTGTTTATGAACCTCCGCCTCTTCTGCGTGCTCCGGGTCGATCGCGCTCCCCTGTTCCCTTGGGTGGTGCAGCATGGCGCCCGTTCCTTGGGTCGATTTCTGGAAGAGCGTACAGTAGGACACCTAGCGATGGGGACGACCAAGGGTGGTGGATAGTGATGGAGGATCATGAGTAAGAGTTTGATGACAACATTGCACTTTCAGGGGTGTGGGCGTCGAGTGTTGGTCAGGTCAATGTCACAGCCTCAGGTACGCTGGAGTTAATTATAATCGGTCAATGGCATAGCATTTGGGCGAGCATGTCGAAATTAATTGCGAAGGGTGCCTACGCTAACCACCAGATACTGGGCAAATGACAGCGACTTCTTCACCCTTGAAGTAAACTTCATTCACATCCCGTTCATCTCAGCATCCACACTCCACGAACTCTCGTTCAAGACATCCTGTAGAGCAGGGTGACGTTCCGCTGGAAGACGAGCGAGCTGACCAAGCGTGAGTGAAGTATCTGGGAAAGGAATCATCTCGGTGTGGAGACCTGTTGCGGATTGAGTAGCTGCAAAGTACAGCACAGTCACAAACTGGTTCCCAGTGTTCTGAGCAGCCGGCAAGGATCTGGACATGACCGACAAAACACGCTGAACTCGTGTCGATCTTTTGATCTAATTCGGAGTTTGTGGAAAAGTGTCTGAAATAATGAAGTTAATTACAATCAACTTCCTCTTTTGCATGCCCACACTTTCATCGACCGATCCGCTGACTTCGTCATACAAAGAAAAGAGAAAAGGAAGTCTGACCTCTAGGTGCTAGTGCTCGTCATCACTCGCGTAAGACACCCACCCATCTATGTCCCTGCGTATCTCTACTTTCCATCCAAGAACCACGATCGGCGTCTCACAAGTTGATATGAAAGATCGCCATTTCTCGTTTGGCAAATACGGGACCATTATCTTGAGCTCTTTCAGGCACGGAAGTCCTTCAAGGCTCCGTTGGAGGACCATCACAACGTCGTCGTCCGGAAGCTGGAAATAAGGGGAAACGATGCTGAGGTATTCAAGGCACGGAAGGTCATGTCCAGTGAAAACGATGGCCTTTTCATCCAGTAGGTCCACAGATTGGATTGTAAGCATGGAAACTGGACTGGTCGACTGCCCGAGCGTGGTCAATGCCCCGAGAAGTTTCCCATCCTCTTCACACCATATCAGTCTGACATCTCGTACCGGTCTGCCTGGGACTAGGGCTTTAACAACCTCGCATGGGCCAGTCAGCCCTAAGCTGGGCATTGCCATGGGCTTCGCTTCGCCGCGACTTCTTGGAGAAATCTGGAGACGTTGAAGGGGTCTTGTATATTTTCGGTGGGGTGGTGTGAAAGCTTTGTGCAGTCTTGGCATGATGCTAAGCCGTAATTGTAAGATGTTGGGACAGAGCGTCAATACCCTTGAGAGCAATCCCAAATCCCAAGTCTTATCAACGGTTCTCAAATTGTCAGTGCAGGCTCCGTGCAGAAGAAGCCTCGGTGTCTTCTTCTGGCGTACATTTCTCGGAAGGTCCAACCGGAAATTATGAGCGGGCAGGTCAATGAATAGTGACCACACAAACGATCCCCGCAATTGGCCGAGTGATGACTGATTGGAAGAAACCCAGTGCGATTGTATCGTCCTCAAGTGAAACAATGCGATACATCGCACGTTCAGCGACCGCTTTCCAGTTCCTGCTGATGCGTGTCATGGCGCAAAGATCTGCTTTGCGAGTGATATATTCTCCCAAATCTCAAAGGGAAACTTTGAACGAAAGGTTGGGTCCACTGCGTGAGGAATAGCCTATCAAGCATTAGATCTGACTTTATCATTCACGATGGATGGTTGGGAGCGAAACATTCGTTTGATAGCGGAACGGAACTACGAAGGCAAGTCAGTCATGAACAGTCACCAAACCCAATCCATACCTGATGGTTCATCCTGTCGAAAAGTCAGGAAGATGAGGATCGCAGCCGGCAAGACACGGGCGTGGCCTATGGATAAGCATACGGCTTATATATATAATCCAAGTAGCGTGTAACTTGTGGTAAAAGCAAGCCACAGCCGGTTGGCACCGGTATGCAGCGATGCGAGCTGTATGTGTACTCCAGCCATGGGCGACTAGGATACAATATTGAATCTTGATACGTTGCAAGCTTGATTGACATAGTTTACAGGTACACACAACCGTCAAACCAGGCTATAAGTGGGGACTCGGATTCATGGAGGTTCATTGGGCATGCAGGCGAAGATGCTGCAACCCAATGTTCAGTCTTGCCTTGGCTGTGGCTTAGCGGAATCATATCGCATGCTGAGAGCTTCCACAAAACCAGCTGGTTTGCATCCAGATGATCCGGTTGGTGGGCTAATTTAAACTTCATAGTGTCGCAAAGGAAGTCAACAGATTCGCGAGGCGACACATTCAGAGAAAAAACACGGCAGCGAGGTGGTTTCTTCCATGGTCAACCGCCAAGCAAGTAAGAGTGATGGAAGTGGCCATGGGCAACTGTTCTCGGAAAACCGGCAACAGCCGTTGTGACGGCCATTCAAACTGTGCCAACTTCACCAAATAATCATCACAGAGGGCTGGAGGCCTGCCGATGAATGCTGACATCACAATAAATGACTCAATCGGCTTGCACCGAGGTGCGAGGATGCCGATTACCATCATCTCAAACTGATCTCTCACGCCAGGAAGACCGCACCTGCAGAAATAGATCCATTCTCCCAGCCCAATCACACTAGTACGATTTCTGACCATGAATATTTTTGCGTTGTGCCGGGATATGAGTTTGCCCAACGACCATGGCAACCTGTTCCGTGGGCCGATTGGTGGCACGAAACCAAACGAGATGCCTGAGCTGCATGAAGTGTTATGGCTTCTTTCACTCAGTGGGCATCCGTGAGCACCGGATGGTGTTGTGCTATACATTCCATGTTACGCTGACAACATCTCTGTGACCCAGCCGTTTGCACGCTGCAGGCCTCGCTCGTGTTGCTGTGAATTTTTGTAAAACAGATTTTTCGCGCTGTTTAACTTCGACTGTAGGCTTGTTGGGTTACCCAGCACTGATGCCGTCGAACCATCATCAAAGCAAGATTACCAATGCAGCGCAGGGCTCGACACCAGTGCCAGGAAAGCGAGGAGAAACCGATTGCAAACACTCCATCATATTTCGTGGCGAAACTAACGAAAATTCGTGGTTTTCGAGCAACGGCGGAATGTGTATGTGCGATTCCCATAGACATTGACAGCCTCTTTGGGCTCTGGTGGAATTTCGTGCTGCGTGGCTCGTCGGTTCGGGCCTTGGCATTGATGGAGACGGTGCAGTTTGGCGGTTTTCGTGAGTGGTCCAACGGTGCGCACCATGCTCGAGCTGGCAGCCCGGCGTTGCTCGTCTCTGTGAGCGACCTCGCGTCCTGCTATGTACTTGCCTACGTAGACAGGGATTTCGACCGTACCTTATGCCAAGACAAAGCCGCCCAGTTGCAGGCGAGCACTTCGCCCCACAATTCATCGCCTCAAATACCATTGAAACCTGTTCATTCTGGTGATGTCAACCCACCCTCCTAATCCCAGGAGTATCATCCCAAATGGAACATCCTTAGGCTCTGTTCAGTAGAAAGAAAGAAACTGCTTGTGTCAGGGCATCCCATATGTACCTATACCGTTATTTTTTAAAATGCCATCATATATGATAATGGCCACATGCAAGACTAGCAATATCAAACAACATCGCATCAAGTATCAACAAAAACTTATCACTCTATTGGCACCATTCTCATTGCTCCACGGAAATCCTGACTGCTCTGAAAGTCTTTTGATGGCCCAGTATATCTGTTTTAACTATGGCAGAGATATAGTCAGTGGTCTGATTAGTCACTCATCTCATACTCACCTTGCCATACTTATTCTTACAAGCACTCGGCTTGAACACAGTCCCACATTCCTCAGTTAAGTGTGCGGAAACTGAGTTCCAAACCTTGTCTTTGAACCCGATATTCAAGGTGCCACCTGCACGCTTAACTTCAAGAAGGGAGTGGACAAGCTCCGCTTCCTCATGCAATTTCCAAACAGCATGCTCAGAAGGTGGGTTTGTGGATTCCCTCTTGGCCTGGGGTGTACGACGTCGTTTGTTATCAAGGGATGGGTCTGTGTTGCCAAGATCAGCATCCATACTTGTAACAATAATTCACACTTAATTTACATGTGAGGTTTATAAGAAAAAAGCTGTAGCAAGAAATGACAAAGAAACCGGCATGCTGAACACTCATCAGTTTCTTCTCATTTCTTGATGAAAGTGGCAGAAGAAACAAGAAAGAATCAGTCACCTTTTGAATGAAGAAACAAAAAGAAACAGGTTTCTTTCTACTGAACAGAGCCTTAGTATATGGATGATTCGACATGGTGTTGAACCTCACGTGCTCTCAACAGCACCTGTCAATGAATATCTCATGAACTACTGGACCAATTGGGATGAATGAGGTATCATTGGAATGCTGGAAACGAGGAGAATTATGATGGTAGGTGAGGAGAGCACCATAGAGGAGTTACCTTGCAAGGTCACTTTCGAGTCTGGAATTCCTTAGCATTTTTCCCACCTCCAGCAATGTCACCTTGCTACTTGGTCTCTTGCACTCACCCTCTCATTTGATTGCTTTGGTCATCCCTGCAAAGCCATGCTTTTTGTCAGAGTACACCCACTTCCGGCCACTTCCAGCCTACTTACCATCATGATCTGATTCCATGATCTATGATCACCCAGATTCCATGATCCATGATCCCTGTACAGCCTTATGATCTGATCCCACTCAAGATCCATGTTCCATGATCCATGATCCAACACAGCCAGACAAACCTGGATCATTGATTGTTGGTATGTACAGTGCCTCGTAGATTAGTTGTGTGTGTGGGCTACAGTATATTACACCCTGAGTAGCGAGCAGGAAGACCAGCTTTCTTCTCTCATTTCCCCTCGCTGCTCAGCTGGAGCCTGTGTCGCCTAGCACACCTTGCGGTTCTCCTATTGAGACCAACCCAGACCTTCCTAGTCTTACCTCCACTTCCACTGGATACTCGCTACCAGTACGCTCCCAGGAGCGCCAAGTTACCATTGGCCAACCCACAGGTTGTACTTCCAGACACTCATCCCATTCCGCTCTCCCTCTGATGGCTATGCAGCCACCTCCATTAGTGAGCCGAACGGTTCAGGTTGGGTTCCCCGGAACCCATTCCTGTAACACTATTTCGATGTCATGGCCACTCCCTGCACCCGGACACTATAGAAATGGGCCAATTAGGCCCCATTTTTATAACATGGGGGATGGCAGGTTCATGGGTTAGGGTCTGGTTTTTGATAGGAACTGTAGTGGTTCCCAGAAATCCCTATGGGTTATCGCAGGTTATGGGTTATCTCAGGTATGGCCTATCATGGTTTCAACTGTATCTGCCTATCTAATCACAATTCCTGGGTCCTGCAAATTTTTTGCCCAGGACTGAATTCCAAGGTCCTCCACTATTGCCAATTCTCCATAACCTCACTGACCAATACTGTACTAGCATGACCAACAACTGGTTCCCACGGCCTCCGGGAGTTGCCGGAGGCTTTCAGTTGTATTAATTTTCAATTCAATCCAAGACCCTCACGTTATGCATTACCGGTTGTTGGTTGTGCTAGTACAGTATTCCCACTTAATTTCATTGTACATAACTTCCTGCTAATCTAAGCAGCACTATACGTCGATTAGTGATGTATCGGCTCTCAATGCAAGTCCTGTCCTTATATACATCTAATGTTAGTTCTACACCACTGAAGTGAAATGCAAGCAGTAGTCAAAGCATGAAAACAAAGACCCAAAGCAACATTATGTTCACCGTCGATTGCCCCAAAAGCTCCTCCTTCCCAAAGCTCTCAAAGCATGAATGTACGGTCTGGTGACCACCAGTGGCATCGGGCTGTAACTTCCAATGCTGATTCCTCTGATGTACCATTTCTTCACTGTACATATCATTCAATGCACTTCTGCGCCATCCTGTCATATCCATCCCCGGCCATCGACTTCCAGTCCCTCCGATCCCTCCAGTCTACCTCCGCTCCTTCTTCACTAACCTCAGAGCTCCCATATTCCGCAATCCTCTCGGTACCCCTTGATGGTCACCACCCCCTCCTTTCAATTTATTACCTATGCCTCCCCAAGTACGGAGCCCCGAAGACTTCCGGACAGCTCCGACATCCACTAGTGCACTCCTGCCTCCACTGGGCAATACACTTGCCTGCCCTGCAGAGCCCACCTTCGGGCCTATCCCTCCTTTCCGTTTCTGGGTTATCGCCTGCCTTTCCGTTAACCCCGTGACCCGACTCGTCGGTAATATTCAGTCGGCTAATGTTTAACCCTGTTAGCTCCGCTCCGTTTGGCTCTGCCATTTGCGGACCTGTCTTTGCTGTAACCATATATATATCCAACTTGTACATAGGTTACACTTCAGTAATAAAATCGACTAGAGTTATCCCCCTTCAGTTCTGGTTGCCAGTTAGTAAGTTAGGGCACAGACGTGTTACTAGGCACAGTGCTCTTGGCATAAGTCGCTGAGGCCGAAGCCCTCTGCCATGGAGACTTTCCTTCATCTCGAACCTGGTCTCTGACACATCCTTCATTCTATGCTATGCAGGTCGTTGCGATGTGAAGCATGCACTCTAGTGACATGTCTGACATGAATTTGACCAGTCAATGTCTGACCACGTGACTGCTTGTGACCATGGTCCAACACTGCAAGTTATCAGGCAGGGCCTCAACGATGGATGTCAGTCGAGGGGGAGTTCTGCTACCACAGTGAACACCCAGCACGGGCCTAAACCTTCACATGGTGCCCCTGTTTAAAACTAATTAAGCCTCTAACATCTGAAGGGAGGATGACGTGGCCACCATGGTAATGCCAATCAACCACAACCCCATAAGCCCAGAGCCGCACTGGCTGGAGAGATGCAAGAGCACAGGTGCATGTCCTGCCATCAAGCCAACCCTTCCTTTTCCTTCTTACCACTACCTTTTTGGGATGACGAGCGCGATAGTGGCAACGCCAATGGTGACCTCCGTAAGCCCAGACGGGACTGGCCAGAGGACTGTGGGTTCAAGTCCCACCGTCACCCCAACCCTTCCTTATTCTTCTCTTCTCCACTACCTTTTGGGATGGTGAGGTGCAATAGTGGTAGCGCCAATGGTAGCCTCCATAAGTCCATGGGCAGGCTGGAGGAGTGCAGGTTCAAGTCCTGCCATCACCCCAACACCCTTCTTCCTTCTTTCTCCACTACCTCTTGGGATCATGGGGCGTGATAGTGGTAGCACCAGGAGGGCCATCACCCCAACTCACTTCCTTCTCACTTTCTCCACTACCTCTTAGAGTGATGAGGTGTGATAGTGGTGACGCCAGGCTGCCATCACCGCAAAACTTTCATTTCTCTCCACTACCCCTTCAACCGACAGCCCCTCCACCGCATGTCTTTATTGAACACATGAGCTGGAAGCCACTTAACACCCTCGGCTGCCATCCTAAACACTGAACGGCCAACCAAGATGCAATCTCACAAGAACACGCTTCACCTCAACCCACCCACAAGAGCTGCTGTCACACTGAACAGCCAACCAAGACATAACCAAACCCTAGGCCTGGGTATCAATCCAACAACACATGGAGCCTTCACCCAATTCACCTGCAAGAACTGTGCCCACACACCCCACTTTCTTCATCACCTTTCTGGGCTTACAGCAGCAAATCGTGCACCCCCTGCACTGGGGATCATGTGTCTCTTCTATGCACTATTTCTTCACTATGCTTTACATTTCTCCACATCATTTGTTACTATTTTCCAGTGCAGGGGATGCACGTCCTTATGTGTTATTTCTTCACTCCGCTTTACTTTCCATACCACCTGATACTCAATGTCTCATCCACCCATTGACACTTAACTCCTCTCCACCTACTACTTTCCAAACATTTTCCACCTGCGTCATTATAGTATGGCATATGCCGATAGGCACAGATACGACTAACCCTAAAACATTCCCCAGTACGTCCTGCAAAGATCATGTGCCGAAAGCAAAAATAGTTCAAAAATAGAAAACCTACAAAACCCCCCTGAGATGAGTGCAAAAGGAAATATACACATGATCAGGGCTGAACAAAAAATGATGGTCCATTGCCTACATGTGACGTTATTATGTAATAATTATTCATTTCACCCAACCCAACCCAATTACAAAACCAAGATTATTAATTACCATCACAACGCTTGTGTATTGTAGAACATGCTCAGCATTGGGTTTGTTTAGTGTAGTTAGTGTAGCATTGCTTATCGCTATTTTATATACATTGAAGTCGTCCTTGTAACTCTGGCCAAAAAAACCCCACCAAGAATGAATCAAACCTGCACAAGCAGAGGGGTCTATAAACAGCGCTATAACCCACTAGACCAAGTAGACCTCACATGTACTCGGCCTTAAAAGTAATATATAAAGGGTTAATTTTAGCCACAGATCCGGGGTTGATCACGAAGTCAAAAGCAGCTGCCCAATGTACACATTGATCACCCCTTTTGGAAGTTTTCATCTTAAAAGTTTTCTAAGGGAGAAACAAAAAAAAAGAGACAGTAACACATAGGATTTGAACCAGAATCCTCTAAACACAGAATTGAAGAGAAGACAGCAGTAGCCACTAAGCCAAACCACCATCACTAGGAACCCCATGTTGGAAATCAACCTCAAAACATGTATTTACATATATTTGTGCTGACAATTCTATTTAGTGGTCTACTCTCATCTGGTCCGACCCTGGCCCTATTGCGGCCTCATCCTATGGTTTTCTATACCCCAAACCAATTCATCTATATGAATAGTTATTCTGGCCTCAGCAATCTTCATCCACTATTTTCTTCTTACTGTACGCAACTTTCTTTTCCCTTCCCTTAAATGCCCCAAGGCACCTGGGCACCTGCCCATGCATCTTCATGCTTGCATCCTATTCATTTCCTTCATGTTGCAATGTTGTAATTGGCAGATTCTGTCAGAGACCAGGTTCGAGACGAAGGAAAGTCTTCGTGGCAGAGGGCTTCAGCCTCAGTGACTTATGCCAAGAGCGCTGTGCCTAGTAACACGTCCGTGCCCTAACTTACTAACTGGCAACCAGAACTGAAGGGGGATAACTCTAGTCGATTTTATTACTGAAGTGTAACCTATGTACAAGTTGGATATATATATGGTTACAGCGAAGACAGGTCCGCAAATGGCGGAGCCGAATGGAGCGGAGCTAACGGGGTTAAACATTAGCCGACTGAATATTACCAACGAGTCGGGTCATGGGGTTAACAGAAAGGCAGGTGATAACCCAGAAATGGAAAGGAGGGATAGGCCCGAAGGTGGGCTCTGCAGGGCAGGTGAGTGTATTGCCCAGCGGAGGCGGGGGTGCGCTAGCGGACGTCGGAGCTGTCCGGAAGTCCTCGGGGCTCCGTACTTAGGGAGGCGTAGGTAATAAATTGGAATGAGGGGGTGGTGACCATCGAGGGGTACCGAGAGGATTGCGGAATATGGGAGCTCCAAGGTTAGTGAAGAAGGAGCGGAGGTAGACTGGAGGGATCGGAGGGACTGGAAGTCGATGGCCAGGGATGGATATGACAGATTCAAAAAATATCATCATTTTCATATTTGTCAAACACGTGATTTTTTGCGGGATGTACTGGGGGAATGTTTTAGGTTTGCTCACAGATATGTACTTTAATTCCAGTTTAATATTCCCGCTACTCTGTAGCGGGTCTTGCGTGCACAAACTGAATACCTGAGCACCGTTATTGGTTATTCCCTTTTTTACCTCAGCTTTCTGACATTCCAGATTACTGTCATATCCATCCCTGGCCATCGACTTCCGGTTCCTCCGATCCCTCCGGTCCAACTCCATTCCTCCCTCACTAACCTCGGAGCCCCCGTATTCCGCAATCCTCTTGGTACCCCTCGATGGTCACCACCCCCTCATTCCAATTTATTACCTATGCCTCCCTAAGTATGGAGCCCCGAGGACTTCCGGACAGCTCCGACGTCCGCTAGCGCACCCCCACCTCCGCTGGGCAATACACTCGCCTGCCCTGCAGAGCCCACCTTCGGGCCTATCCCTCCTTTCCGTTTCTGGGTTAATGCCTGCCTTTCCGCTAACCCTGCGAACCGACTCGTCGGTAATATTCAGTCGGCTAATGTTTAAACCCCGTTAGCTCCGCTCCGTTCGGCTCTGCCAATTGCGGACCCGTCCCCGCTGTAACCATATATATATCCCACTTGTACATAGGTTATGCCCCAGTAGTAAAATCAACTAGAGTTACCCCCCTAGGTTCTAATTGCCAGTCAGTAAGTTAGGGCACGGATGTGTCACTAGGCACAGTGCTCTTGGCAGAAGTCGCTGAGGCCGAAGCCCTCCGTTACGGAGACATTCCTTCGTCTCGAATCTGGTCTCTGACAATTACCTCAACTTGCTTACCAAGCTAACCCAAGTTGTCCCTCACCGCTGTGGATCCTAACTCACCACTTGGCCCTACACCCAAACCTCCACCCTCCCACTCTTTCCTGCCCAAATCCTCCAACCCTCCTGCTGCACTTCCTTCCTGCCCAAACTCTTGCTCCACACTATGGCGTCCTCTCCACACCGAGCCTTTTTAAGTGGCCCCTGGCCATTTAAACTCCTTACCACTGAAGCTGATTGCGATTTTCATCTAACCAAAGAAGCGATCGGTCACAGCCTATATGATTTTTCATTGTCAATCAACGATCAATGGAATTTGCTCCTACACCATGCCCTGACCGGCGATTGTTACTCAAGGTGCATGTGTTGTGCACCGCTCCCAATATCCCTCTTGTGATTTGTTTTTCCATCTTCTTTTTGACTACCTTCCTGTCCTCTCAGGTTTTGCACACACTTTTACACACTGTCTGCATTGCTCTCCTTGCTGTTGACAAACCAATCACCTCCCTCTCTCAAACACTGTCATGACATTTTGCTTGTATTTACTCACCGAAACCAAATAATATCACATAAACTCCTTCGCCAGTCTTGGAGTGTTATACTGCTGTGGCGTTCAATTCAGGTTCATAATGTCAGTGGGGTTGTATATGCAGACTGGGGGTGCGGTCCTGATTTAAAACTTAACGATATTTCACATTTGTAGTACCACCTAGTACCACAGCGCGCAAAGATGGCTCCAGAGTGACTTCTAAGTGGGCTGCGATGCTGTGTCGATGTGGGAGTAGCGGGTATTGCCACTTCAGGCGGCGTCCATCAGTTATCCTATTTCACGGGACTAATCAGGGCCGGGCACGTGCGACCTGGAGCAGTCCGTCTCGTTCTGCACTGCCGCAGTGCTGATGATCGTGATGGGTGACCAACTGCCCGGGTCCTAACTTGCCTCTAGCATGGCTGAGGTTAAGTTGCTGAGGAAGGGGGAGGTTTGCTCCTTTCCCCCACCTGCTCGCTTGCCTTCGCGCTTGTGCTCGGAGTTACTGGTATGTTTCCCCCAGCGCAGCAGGGCTTGTAACTCACGCTCGCTTGCCAGTACCCCCTCTGGTTATTGCGTAGTAATTGCTTTTCCGCTTCCTTCTTACTGTTCTCTGTAAGCATATCTTTCTCCCTTGATTTCTTTATCGTGATTGCTTGCTGTCAGCTCTTGCTCCAACCTCGCTTGCGCTGCTCTCTCTTCTGCCTACCCTCCACCTTCCCCAACTCCACCTTTGTGACTGGTACTATTATCTCGTTATCATCTTATTGTACCGGCTCGCCCTTGGCCGTTGCATTTCTTTTCTTGCAATCCCATTTTGCGCTGGCCCACGTTGCATCGTGGGCCGTGTCCACTTAGTTGGTCGGAACCGATTAGAATGAATACATCCATCCATCCATCCAAGTTATCAGGCGACCTCAACAATTCCCGTCCCGTCCCTCTCTCAAAAAGCGCTCAGCGACGCCGCCAGTATTGACAACGTACCATCCAGAGGCCCAGTAATCGTTCCCGGAAGTTCCCCTGGACTATGCAAGTCCAACAACAACAACAACAACCCTCGTCCACTCAGCACGCTTTACCATCACTTCAAAGCATCACCCTTCCTACATCGTCATCCAAGTCTCCCTTCTTTGTCGTTCCAGCAGTACCCCATTTGCAGCAGCCTACTACCTCCAGACCCCAAGCCAAGCCATCTTTTACAATCCCTCACCCAAACCCAGTAAAGCCAGAACAGACCCCTCCATCCCCAAACATCTTCACCTACAAAGCCCCAGCGCACAAACATGCCCACCATCTTCATAGCATACCTCCAAAGGAGAAGACAGTCCAGACTTTGATGTATTTGTTTTGAGATCACACATCCCAGACGCCCGTTACTGACGCAACATTCCCAGTCTTGATCATATGTTATGGCTGCATTCACGCACTCGTTTCAACCAGGTTAGATGAAGCTGCCTGTTGGTAAAATCAACCGTAGCGCTCACATGAGAGGCGCTGGTATTCCAGGTCAGATCTGAGCTGGGAATGCAGACTGGGTCCCCAGAAGGTCCAACCGAAAAGGACGTCACTGAAACTGATGATGAACTTGCTCGCGAGCTACTTTTTGGGTTAACCGGGGACGACCGGTATAAAGGCCTCAGTGCTGATGCGAACCGGTATGTACCAAATGTGGACATTGAGACCGCGAAAGTTCAAAGGGCGAACGCAGAAGGAATGGAGAAGGTTCGCCATTCATTTTCCCCTGCATGTCTTTCCACCCCATGTTGATGTCTCCTATAGGTTCTTACTTCCTTACTCACCCAGCGGTCCGTTGGTTCTCGTCACACTCACGAAGTGAATCCTGGAGTTCCGGGGGTGTTACCAAATGGGGTTAGGATCAGAATTGTGCTTTCTGCTCTTGTCAACGACCTGTTCGCACGCGATCAGCACCTTTTTGGCCCCGATGAGCAACCAGAGAACGTGCTTTCAGGGTTGTCAAGTGATTTGTCGCCCATGTCCATTGCATCAATCGTAGCCAGCGGCACCGCTTCCTCCACTGAATTGCGCTGGGCCCAAATGGATTTTGAACCGTCGCCAGGCGTTCCCATTTCCCTCGCCCCCCTCACCCCGATCTCGTCCTTTCAGCAAACTAGGGTCAAGTCCAGCCTTGCCCCGGAATCGAAGTCGGGTGGACCTCCAGCGCGATCTATTTTTTCCTCGATTCCTCGTGGGGCCGGTATGGAGTCTCCATGGGCGCTTGGATCATTGAACAGTCTATCTGCAAGGGGACCCGAGTCGGCATCGGCATCCCACTCCGTTTCTAGCCCGCCCTTTGCTTCATCATCTTCGGGGTCGCATGCAAGCCGAGGCCCTCGAGTGCGCAAAGCTGTCGGGCGTTCTCGGGATTTGTACAATTCTGGAATTCGAAGGTGTTGGCCCATTTGTGCAAGTCACCTGACGGATTTTGATGAATGTCCACCTGAGTGCCTTCACGCAGAGGCCTATGCAGCGGACAAGAATGGTCTCCTTACACTATTAATTCAAAGAAGCCTGACCACGATCGGTTCAGGGTTGCCGGACCCCGGCATTCCATTGCGCTCTGCTATTCCTCAGTTTGTCCTCAACGACGTTAACGACAAGGGCGAACCAAAGGAACTCGCCATCAGCGGAACACGGATGGCTGCACTTTTGCCGCGATTCCTTAGGCTATCTGCCTTCGTCGCTCGAGAACTTGGTTGTGAGATGCGTGAGCAGCGGCAGCAATTCGCTGATGTGAAGGCCGGGACTGTCATACCTGCGGAGCCCTCTTCCTCCAACCCCACTTCTATTGCTGACATTCCTTCCACCACTGGCGACGGGCGCCCCACCCGCATCTGGTATGCCTTACTGAGTGGTATGGTCACTAGGGCCGCTTTAGAGGGATACCTGGGACGTGGTTGGTTGGGGCCCGATGCTCTTGAAATCCTTTTTGGTATTGGGGTAGGTGTGGACTGGGAAGATGTTGTTGAGAAACCTGACGAAAAGAATGTTTCCGCAATGCGTGCCCGCTCGGGATCGACCTCATCCGACGTGAAATCCGTGGAGGATGATGGAGTCAGCCAGAAGCGAGGATCGATTGACACGTCACTTTCGGAAGCTTACGCTGCCCAGTTTGAGCCCGATGGCATGCCTACGTTAGCCGAGGCTGCGAAAATTCTCTTCAAGCGTGGTATTCCTACTGGCGTCCCGGGTACTCAGTCAGAGTTGAGTGTTATCAACTCCTATGCGAATGGATTCCAGACCACATGTTTGGGAAACACACGCCCCATTGACACTGATCCTGAATGGGCGGTTGAGATGACTGAACGTGTCTCCGAGGTTAGTTTCCTCAAGGCGAACTTGATTCTCTTGCTAACTATCCATATCCTCAGTTTGCCAGTGTGCACCATACGGCCGACCTTCACACGCATTTGCTTGACCTTTCGAAGCGATATCCGGCTGAGCCTGTTGAACGTGCAGTTCTTCGATTCTTGGAAGCCATTGCTCAGTGGCGTGGTCTACCAGAATTGGAACAGGTGGGTCCAATCATCTGGTCGTGCCCATAATTTGATTGCTAACTGATCCTCCGACCCCACAAGTACAAGGAACGTGTTCGAAAAGCCAATACCGTTGCGACGCAGCCCTCGGCTTCTCTGGAGCGCCGCCGTGGTTCTCTGTCCATTTCTTCTCTCGTGCACCCCACAGAGACATCTGACCCGACCTTTGAGCCCAGCTCTTCCGCTATCTCATCCCAGTTGAATACTCCCGTTACTTCTCCTGTCCTTAAATACTTTGTCGTCCCGAAGCATGTCATCGCTTCTCTCCCTCCTTATCCCTCAAAAAAACGCGTGCGCGATGAAGGCCCTGAGGCTGAAGCAAAGCGATTAAAAACCCCTCGTGTAGGTGCATCATCATCTGCAACCGCTGCAGCTAATACATCTCTACCTGGAATCCTATCCGCACCTGCAAACCCTCTGGCTGAATCTTCCTGGACTGGGCCTACGGTGTTTAATAGGAAGCATAATTTCCTGTCTCCTCCCGATGTACATGTATATAACCTCAGTTGAAAATGGACAAAAAGCCTCGACTCATCGCTTTGTTATTTTGCACTTAAAAACTAGAGTGCGTTCTTCGCACGCGCAACGTTTTTAACTAAATTTTAATACTTAAGTGCAGTGCAAAGTATGCATTGGAGACATGAAAATGATTTGTTAAGTCCCGGCGATGCGAGTTCAGCGCGCGCCTACAGAAAACATGTTTGTCTCGAATGATGAAACGAAAAGAGAGCCATTAGTGGCAAAGGAAATCGAGTTAGAGTTAGAGGTGGAGCAAAGTGCTCACGTGCCAGCATACCCAGCGACAGATTCGATGTCGGAGTTAGTTTTGTGCAGAGATTGACGCATATCGAAAGTCATATGCAACTAGTGACGAGGTTAGGCCTGCCGCTAGCCATGAAATCGTTGGAGTCCGTGACCTTGGAGACAAAGAAGATGTTGTAAACGCGGCGTAACCCACTCGCAACCCAGATGTAATATAGAAATGAGAAGAGAAACTGTAACTAACTAAAGAACATACGGTGCCAAAGCACCCACATTTATACTCCTGAATAACATTCTATGCCCAGCGCTTACGCAGGCACCTAGAATATTCTCAGATATTCCGGTTCAATCTAATCATGTGACTCGTATTCCAACAGAAGAGACAACAGGTAGTGAAGTGCTAGCAAACAAGGGGGGGGTCCCTTCCCAGTCGCTCACATGATTTCTCCGAGGTTTAGCTGCAACTTACATTGCCTCTGAGTGACTGGTACAACTTGCAACACATGATGTTCCCACGCTAAGTTGTAATGAGCTGTGCATAGGTTGCGGAATATAATTTTTAGTATTTATGCATGTGGTCATTGCACCCAACCCAACCCGTGGAGACTAAGGGAGTGTCATATCCATCCCCAGCCATCGACTTCTGATCCCTTCAATCCCTCTGATCCACCTCTGCTCCTTCACTAACCTTGGAGCTCCCATATTCCGCAATCCCCTTGGTACCCCTCGATGGTCACCACCCCCTCCTTTCAATTTATTACCTATGCCTCCCTAAGTACGGAGCCCCGAAGGCTTCCGGACAGCTCTGACGTCCGCTAGCGCACTCCCGCCTCTGCTGGCCAATACACTCGCTTGCCCTGCAGAGCCCACCTTTGGGTCTATCCCTCCTTTCTGTTTCTGGGTTATCACCTGCCTTTTCGTTAACCCCGTAACCTGACTCATCAGTAATATTCAATCAGCTAATGTCTAACCCCGTTAGCTCCGCTCCGCTTGGCTCTGCCATTTGCGGACCTGCCCTCATTGTAACCATATATATACTCAACTTGTACATAGGTTACACTTCAGTAATAAAATCGACTAGAGTTTACCCCCTTCAGTTCTGGTTGCCAGTTTAGTAAGTTAGGGCACGGATGTGTTACTTGGCACAGCACTCCTGGCATAAGTTGCTGAGGCCAAAGCCCTCCGCCACTGTCAGAGACCAGGTTGAGACGAGGGAAAGTCTCCATGGCGGAGGGCTTTGGCCTCAGCGACTTATGCCAAGAGCGCTGTGCCAAGTAACACATCCGTGCCCTAACTTACTAACTGGCTACCAGAACCGAAAGGGGGTAACTCTAGTCGATTTTATTACTGAAGTGTAACCTATGTACAAGTTGGATATATATATGGTTACAGCGAAGGTGGGTCCGCAAATGGTGGAGCCGAACAGAGCGGAGCTAACAGGGTTAAACATTAGCCGACTGAATATTACTGACGAGTTGGGTCACAGGGTTAACAGAAAGGCAGGCAATAACCCAGAAACAGAAAGGAGGGATAGGCCCGAAGGTGGGCTCTGCAGGGCAGGCAAGTGTATTGCCCAGCAGAGGCGGGAGTGCGCTAGCGGATGTCGGAGCTGTCCGGAAGTCTTCGGGGCTCCATACTTAGGGAGGCGTAGGTAATAAATTGAAAGGAGGGGGTGGTGACCATCGAGGGGTACTGAGGGGATTGCGGAATATGGGAGCTCCAAGGTTAGTGAAGAAGGAGCGGAGGTAGACCAGAGGGATCGGAGGGACCGGAAGTCGATGGCCAGGGATGGATATGACACACCATGGAGACATTCCCTCGTCTCAACCTGGTCTCTGACAGGGAGCACATCCAGGGTTGTGAAGTCAATATCCGGGTGTGTGCGAAGTTTAACAGTTTATATATTACTTGGTTACCAGTCACTTATTTGTGCCTAGTGGCATAAGTGGTACAGCGTTAGTGTCATATCTGCACATACTGTCATATCCATACAATCCTGACCTCTGCTCCGGGCTCCCGGAACTCCGAAACTGACTCCGGAGCCCTACTTCCCTTCCATCACCTTCTCCTTGCTGACTTCCAAGAGGTTATCCCACCTCCAGCTCTGACACCACCTTTGGTCCGACTCCAGAACATTCTGGGTCCGACCTCATCCTCAACACCTATGCTCCCAACTCCGGAACCTCCAGTCTTAGCTCCGACCTCGGACTTTGATCCCACCTCTGCTTATACCCATTGTATTGGTTAGCTCATTCCATTTAATTACCTTTGCCAATATTCCGGAGTTTAACTTCCGAGTTTGGACTTTCTGGACTTACATCGGACCTTGCAACTATTGCATTGCTCCATTCAGTTCCGCTATTCTCCCTCATTCCTATTTGGGCTGCTGCTTCCTTTCTATTCAGTCAGCTGGCCATTCCCCACTCCCATCCTCCTTCCTTCCTTCTTCCTCCTTTGGGAAACTGTCAGGGCAATAGCCCCGAACCCCGAGCCACATGTAAATTAGATACATATAGTCACGTGGGCAAGCGGGAACCTCCGGGTAACTGCTTACACACCACCGTAAAATACACAAACTTGTATCACTTATGGCCTTGTGTGCTGAGCTACTGTCAGGGACTCGTCCGGGGTCGAGGGGTCCGGGTATAGCGTCTGGGACCGAGAGCCTGGCAGGGGGCGGATCGGGCATGCGTACTGACAGGCCCGATGTGGGACAGTGGTCCCTGGCCACTTAGACTGAAGTGGAAGGTTGAGAAGAAGGCTACTTCTTCGGTTCCCACTTCAGGTTCGTTTATATACATGCGGCTTGGATCACATGACGGGTGCCACGTCACCCTCGCACACAGCCGTAACCACCCGGGTGTCTCCGTGGGAGGTCCCGAGGGTATCCGGTGCAGGCGTGCGTGCTGGGCACAGCGGGAGGTCACCCGAGGTGCCCGGGCCGGGTGTGTGGTGGGCGCGCTGCAGATGGGTCAATTGTACATTGATACAGAGAAAGTCGTCCATGTGGAATAAAGGGAGAATAAAGAAGAAGTAAGATAAGGAGAAACTGAGGAGGGGAGGATGAGGGGGGAAGAAGGGAAAGGGGGAGGAGGTAAGGGAGGGTGGACCGGTGGGGTACCGGGTCAGGTTGGGCCGGGTGGAGCCAGGTCAGGCGGGTGTGCCCTGACAGCTACCCAAAGACCTCACACTTTTTTAAGTGCATGAGGTGTGTTTTACAACACAACCCACAACTCCAATAATCGTAACATCTGACTCGGAAGCACCTATGGTGCCTAAACATGCCCGCAAGGGCAAGGTCGCATCTGCAGCGACACTAAAAAGAAATGAGCGGTTTATTAAGAAACCGCAATCTCCCATCATGGGAGATTCAAACCAAAAGCCGTCGTCAGACGACGACGAGGATCAACATGATCCGGCATTAGCAACCACCTCAGGGCTGGTCCCTGAAGGTTTTAGAAACTTACGTGGAGTAAGTGCAGGGCCAAATACCCCCAGAACTCCACAACACACCGATCTAACCCAAGCTGGGGAAGATCCCTCACCTCCTCACAAGGTGATCGACTTGCACGAAAAACACGTAAGCGCCGAACGATCAGCCCAAAAAGCTGATCGGATAGAGTCGCAGGAAACTCCAGGGCCCCACTATCCCCTGGAGTCCCCCCTCACGTCCCCAAGTCAAGCCCCAAAGGCAGACAAAGGGAAACAAAGGGAAGAGCCCCCGTGTCGGCTATCCGAAAAACTACTGGACTTGTTCCAGGTTCCATCTGAATGGAGGACAGAAAGTGAAGATCAACTTCTTCTCAGGCTGAAAGCCCGAGAAGGCGCGAAGATACGCCCTGAGAGCAGGATCTCCCAGAGCGCGGAAGCTCCAAAAGAACTTCTGCTGTTTACACTCCCACACACCATGCCAGACAAGGCAAGGTCGCCAACCTCGGAGGAGGTCTCCGAGATAATGAAGAGGAGGCGAACTGAAATGAGGGAGTTCGCTGAGGAAGCCTTACGTAAAAGTAAGGAAAAACCAGCGAACAGACCCCTCTATGAAAGGGAAGCACCCTCCGCAACGGCCTTGCCTAAACAAAGCGAGCGTGGAGTGTTCACTCCAAGAACCCATTCTGGAACCCCCAGAAGCGGAAATGTCAACTGGGGAGAGTCTCTGCTCGCCCAACCAAACTTCCTCCTGGAAAACCAGGAATTGCGCATAATAAATGCGATAAACTCGATCCAAAAAAAGATCGAGGAAACGAACCATAATAGTATGGCTTGTCTAGAGATAACTCTAGAAAGAATGGCCAACGCAATCGACGCGTTGACTGAAAAAATCAGCGAACAAACAGACTTGCTGAAGGAAATAAATTTCTCACAAAAAAGTGAGGAAACAAATAAACACCCCTGGACCACAGTCCAGGACATAAATAGAACTCGTGAAAAATTCACGAAAAGAACCACCAGTGAAAGCACACTGGAATATCATCAGCGACTCGACAGAGATGCTAAGGAGATCCTTCTCCCAAGGATAGGAGAAGACGATGCCGAAAGAAGGCATCGTTCAGAGATTAGGAGGAGAATTGGCACATACCAAAGGTTCAGCCAAACGTCCACTTATGACGGACCTCTCAAACAGAGAGGTAACTCATTCACACCCTCTCAAAACAATGAGAGAATACAAATACAACTTCAGCTGAAACCAAAGAAACACTGTGAGGAAGATTTCCCCCAGCAAAAACCCCCCAAAGGAGAGATCTCCATTGGATAGCGACCCCGCGAAGGCAGGGGAGCAAGAAGAGTACC